TCCAGAAAAAATACCCGATCTAAAGTTATCAGTGGAGAAGAAGTTTTTGGCTTTACAGGATAAGAATTCTGACGCAGACTTTCAAAATAATGAGAAATTTGCACAATTTAAACAACAGCTGAAAGAACTAAAGAAGCAATGTAAGTCAGCATGCTTTGCTTTGGTTTGGCTTTTTGAAATTAGGGAACTGACTGGATAAACAGTCCCAGAAATCTGATTTTACAGAGTTCGCTTATCTGCTTGGCTTGATCCTCTTTCTAAATTGCTTTTGTATTGTTGTTGCAATTCTGTATTTGGTCTAACTTTGGTTCACATCAGCCTGTCCATTTCTGAAAACCAACAGTTTCCACAAAGTGCTAAGAAAATTCCCCAGCAGGTAGAGAAAGTTACACTGTTATTGTCCCACTGCTGGGGAGGGGAATTGGGAAAAGAAAACTGAAAGCTATCTTATTAAAATAATGGTGGTGTTTTTTCACATTTTAAACTGCTGTGCCAAGCTTTAAAACAACCATACCTTGATTCTAGTTTTGCTGTTTTAGAGTAGCAGGAGCAGTGTCTTCTCAAACATGAGACCAGAATTCTCCTGATCCCTCTATCTTAGTAGTTTAAATTCCACGTGAGCTTTAGATTTGTTGCCTTCCTAAGAAACTTTATTATACTCAGGTTTTTAGTGAACATAATTTTGATTTAAAAATGAGAGTGGAAAAAATTATTAGTTGTACCCAAAAAATCTTGTAGACAGTGTTGGCAGAAATATATATTTTCTATACAGTGAAGTACATATGTCCTCCCCCCCCTCTTTTTCCATATAGTCCACCTAACAATTTTATGTAATTTTATTGTTTTTACATTAGCATCAAGTGTTGTTCTTTCTTTTAGGTTTGAGGCTCTTTTATTCCTTAAATAATTGAGGCAAATAAAGTTTTTTTAAAAACTTTAGTTTCATATCACCTTCATTTGTGCATACACATGGAACAGGAATGCATGATATAAGATACAGATTTACTTCGTGTTCATATTTGTACTTAGTATAGGGATTCATATTTTGAAATAGGCTTTCTTTTAAATATAAGCATTTTCTTTAAATTGATGCTGAGATCTCAAAAAATGACTGAGGAAGCTGCTTTACTTTTGTGTATTTTACAAATAACTTAAGTTTCACAATTTGGAATGTTTTGCAATCACGATGAGACTTTTGCTTTTACTGTAGATTTAAACAGTAAGCACTTTTTCCCACATTTTAAATCCGTTTTTTTGTTCTTCACTGAACAACACAGCTACCAAAATCTCCCTAATATAATTTGCACTGTTCCCCCAAATGGGTAATAATCCCCCAAACAGGTAATAATTTGTTAGTGCCTTTCTGGTCTTAAGATGCTAGGGAATTGAAGTTTTGGTCTTGGTCAGAATAGCCAAATGTATTTTATTTTTCTACTTGGAGCCAGTAATCACAAATTATGGCAGATTTAGCATCCATCTGATCATAATTCTTGATTTTTTAAAATATTTTATAATACAGATTAAAGGACAAATACCCCAAAATAGAAATTTCTTCCCACTTTGTTATTGTTTACAAAGTTACTATGCCATAAGAGAAAACTATAGATCTTTAGAATCATATGCTCACGTGAAAACACTTTCTAATTCAGGATATGTAATTCAACAAAATGATTATTATTGGAATTATAGTTACTGTTTCTTTAATTCTCTCTAAAATGGGGGGTGAGGGAGAGGTTTCCCCAGGCCAGCAGTGTACATCATTTGTCTAGACAGTTAAAACTTACGACAAAGTAAACTTATATTGAAAGAAGAGCTCCCTTATGTAAGGTTTCCTTACATATGATAACACTAGAATTAAGACAGCTTTCCCTTGTATTTCTTCTAAAGTAGTCTTTTAAAAAGTTTTAAAGTCTCAAATGGTAGAGCAAGCAAAATATTAAGACTCTCTTAAGATGCCCTATAAGATGCGTATACTTTACTTGCAAAATGTGATTTTTTTGTGCATTATTATTAACGCTATCAATTAAACTTGCACCATGCCTACTGGATTTCCTTTCTTTAGATTTAACGCCAGTGAGGATGCTGATTAGCACCGGGCTCCTACAGTTTTTGTGGAGCCAAGTCAAAGGGACTGTGATTTATAAAGAAGCCAGTGAACCTGGTTATTTTGAGAGATGTTCTGAAGGCAAAGAATTAGAATAGTAATTTTTTTTTTTTTTAAAGATTGGAAAAGACAAGCCAGGGAGAGATACTTGCATCTAGTTGTCTATTTTGACAAAGGCTAAAGCGTTTTTATGGTCTGCACATAGCAGAAGAGTTCTTTCATGAAAATCACCCCACATTTTCACCAGATTTATTCTACAAGCACATAAATTGCATGGGATTAAATTTTACCAAATCAGGATTTAATGAAAGAAATGCCAGGAAACTCTCAGGTGGGGGAAGTAGAGAAGGAGATTGAAATGAGGCCGTCTGCCAGGTGCCCTGACCTGAGAACGTGCTCCCACCCGGCCTAGGCGGCCCTGCCGGCAGGAATCCGTTCACCTCCCTCTAGTTCAGCAGCCGGTTCTCAGACTGTCTGGTCTCAAGATCCCCTTACATCTGACAGTTTACTGAGGGCCCCCGAGACAGCTGTTGGCATCTAATTCAAAATCAAAACTGAGGAATTTAAAAAAATATTAATCCACTTCAAAAAATCAATCATATGCCCATTACATGTTAATACAAAGAACGTTATGACATAACGTTCATATATTTTCCAAACAAAGAAAAATTAGTGAGAAGATTGGCATTGTTTTCCATTTTTGCAAATCTCTTCAGTTTCTGGCTTAATGGAAGGCAGCTGGATCCTCATATTTGCTTCTGCAGTCAGTCTGTTGTACACTGTTTTGGTTGAAGCATACAAAGAAAATCTGGCTTCACATACAGGTAGTTGGACTTGCTGAAAGGATCTTGCAGACCACCTGAAGTTCTCACTTTGAAAACCACAGATTTAGGCCAGGGATCAGTAAATTATGGCCCATTGGCCAAATCCAGCCTACCCCCTCGTTTTCTATGGCCTGCTAGCTAAGAATGTTTTTTTTTAAAAATATTTTTTAATTGTTGGGGGAAAATGTCAAGAGAAGAATAATATGTGACATGTGAAAATTATATAAAATTCAGATTTCAGTGTTAATAAATAAATTTTTGTTAGAATATGGACACACTCGTTCATTTACATGTTGTCTGTGGGTGCTTTACACTATAATGGCAGAGGTGAGTTGTTACATCAGAGACCATTTGGCCCACAAAACTTATATTTACTATCTGGCTCTTCACTGAAAAAGTTTACCAACTCCTGGCCTAAATTAAAATCAGAAACAAGGGAAGGTTTTTGTTGTTGTTGTTGTTTTAACTTCAGATTTTTTTCCTAAATACCATGCATTTGTCTCAGGTATATTCAGAACACCTTGTGTCCCTGCTGTGTATGAATCATTGCAGCTGGTGCTCTGAGCTCAAAATAAGGTAGAGTCCCGGTACCTGGAGAAGACAATATATACAAATATGAAATAATGTGAGAGCCACGAAAACAAATATCCAATCAAAAGCAAAGACAAAATGTCAAAAACAAATATTGGGTTGGCCAAAAAGTTCCTTTGGGTTTTTCCGTAAGATGTTATAGAATATTATATATTCCACAATATTATATAATGTGGGCCCTAATGGAGAGAGTCAGAATAGGAATGCAGATTTTATCTGTGTCAGTTGATAGGGGCTGCCTGGAACTGTGTGTTCAAAAAGATTCTGAGGCTGGGTTTGGGCCTAGCAGAAAAGAGTGTGCTGGAGGATTACGGTGGAAAAGAAGAGGAGCAGTACAGATATCTGGTATTTACCATCCCTAGAATATAAGGGTAACAGATACATTATACTCATTTAAGAATATGCTTACTCTAAAGGTCACATACTTCAGTTGCACACAGTAAGGTTTTTTAGTAGTTATTTGCATCTTATGGATATTGCCAGGCATTCAGTCCATCTTCTATGCATATATTATTTTATCCCTGGGTACCCAGAGTCCTCTGTATTAGAGATATTATGTTGCCCCAACTTCACAGGATTATTACCAAGATTAAATGAGATAGTAGATCTTTGCAAACTCTGAAAGCTCACCTTAGACTTAAGTTATTATTGAGAAAGAGCTAGTACAGCATAGTGGAAAGAATATGAGTTTAGCAGCCAGAAGTCCTGGGTTTGATTCACTTAATAAGTAAGTACCGTAGTCTCCCTACCAATGCCACCCATTTTTCTTAGTTTTAATTCTTGGAGTCATGTAAATCGAGATTGTGATTGAAGATAATTTTTATACTTGGCGGTGGTGATGATAAATGAGCTAGGGAATAATTTCACAGAAAACTATTTCCCTAAATGGTAATCATGTTCTTACTAACCCAAGTTGTAAAATAAACAATATGACTTGGTTTAGGGCAGACAGAACCAGACTTTGTTACGTGAAATTATTTTCATTTATCTGACCAATGTGTTCACATAATGTTCTCCCTTCCTTGCCTCTTTTACCTAAACAGTTTACACTATTACAACTCATGGTCTCCTGCAATTTTAACATCAGAAGAACTTAATTAGAATGTGCAGACACCTCTGTACAGACACTTTCTCAAGTCATCAAGTAATATTTTTGGCGTCCTTTATTCATTTACCCATTATATGATTAGCAGGTATCAGAAGCTTTAGTGTAGGTCATCAAGGCAGAAACTGAGGGCATTTGACAATAATTCATACTTAGAAACCCTTACAGTTTAAGGGCTTCACTTTGTGTTCAAAATAGAATTTACTGTGAATCTGAGATCTTTAGTATTAAAATAAATTAATATGAAATGTAATTTTGATGGTACCTTTAAATGTTATAAGAGCGGGCTTCCCTGGTGGCGCAGTGGTTCAGAGTCTGCCTGCTGATGCAGGGGACACAGGTTCGTGCCCCCATCCAGGAGGATCCCATGTGCCGCAGAGCGGCTAGGCCCGTGAGCCATGGCCGCTGAGCCTGCGCGTCCGGAGCCTGTGCTCCGCAACGGGAGAGGCCACAACAGTGAGAGGCCCACGTACCGCAAAA